TGGGAAAAGTCACCTCTAGTGTGGTTTTGGGGCTGAGACCACCAATCAGCTGAAGCCCTGTGTACTCAGTCCCAAGACCATACTGAAGTGAGTTCGGCACTCTGATGCAGTACTGGAACTAGGAGTCATTGGTGATCCCAGCCCCAGGACTGCACCAACATATTGATGGGCACCCAGGGACTCCTAAACAAGGAAAGCAGACATATGTTCCCAGGGCTTCAGGGGCCCAATCCTGCACACCCCAGGGATGGGAATTTCTAAGGCTTGCAAAATTGGGCCCCTGAAATCCCAAGAAGTGCCCTCCCGGAGCAGCTGGAGAGCATGAGCAGCTCCAGGTTGACCATGCTTTCCCATCATAAACTTAACAGATGTCTGCCACAAGAAGGCAGTACAAAATGATATCAATTACATCACAGCCAGAAATTTTGGGCATTTGTGGAATGAAAAGGGGGAGGGGTGTCTGTCTTCTTGGCCTTCGGGGCAGCACAAAGGCAACATCTGTTTTCACCCTAAGGTCTTAGGCAGTTCTTTCCAAGCTGCACATTAGAGTCCTCTGTTCACTTGAGGTCCACAGTACCTGGTCCTCTCCTGAAGGTAGGTGCCTGATGGAGGCCACACCTAGTTGTATAATTGCTTACTGATTAGAACACTCATGAAGAGAGTAGACAGCTTGCGTTATGGATCCTACCTAGCTTGAAGGGATTCAAAACAACTGCAGATTAGTTCCCGCTTATTTCTGATTTCTGTGCAGTGATCAGCCCATGTAAAATGCATGAAGAGAACTGCTGATATTGAGACCACTCCACGACAGGTAAGACTTGCTTGGCACATTCAACATGAAAGCTGCCCACCTGCCTCCTGCTTTCCCCATGCTGTCTGGGGCAGTGAAATGGCTAGCTACGCTTCTGCTGGAAAGCTCTCTAATGCACTGATACGGACTTCCAGCAAAGTTGTGGATCTCACAAAGGGTTCGCAAGGTAGAGCCCTCTGAAATGGCTCAGGAACAATCTTCCAACACTTCTGTAACTTTTCTTTCTACTGCTTTTCTGCAAAAACACTAAAAAGAGGTAAAAAAAAAGAATCAAACCAACCTCACCTTCAGAAGGACTATTCCCTACCCCAGCCCTGTACCCTGTCAAAGGGTCAGGCTTCAAGGCTGGAGATGACCATGGAATAGGGAACCAGATTACTACTCTCAGTGGGCACATGGTGGTCACAGGTTTGGAGTGAACATGCCAGGAAGCTGAATGTGGCAGTTCCTATATCTTGCAGAAGTGTCTGCTCGACCCCTAGTTGATGCTAGGATGGGGTCTCTGTAGTCAGGAAGGAAAATTCACCAGCTAGATGTTCAGGATGGAGAAAGTTCTGTCCTGGATTTCTATTATTTCTCACCAAAACCAACCCATCCCTTTTTATATCCACAATGGATGTGTGGTACAAATGATTTGCAAGAAGATGCTTTTTCCTTCCCCACCCTGTCTCCCTCAGGCTCCCACATCAGAGATGTACTCAGGGGTTAATAGTCTCAGGTCGTATGCTGGCCATGGTGCTGCTGGAAAGTGTCACTGCCTGTGAAAGCAGCTTCCAGCAGCCAAGCGGTTAATATGGTGACATCATTAATACCAATAGGCTCAGGGTATGGTCAGGGATAGAAAGCTTTTCTGTCTGTTGAGTCATCTGGGGGCTGAGCTACCGGGTCAGCTGTTGCTACCTTCTCTGTTAGGTGCTCCAGGAGCTTGGACTGAACAGAGGCTGGGTCTGTGCTGGGAGAGACCTGCATTGCAGCCCAGTCCAGTGGAGGAATTTTTTTAGTAGCTGAAACCAGCCCCCTGGGGCAGCCAGGCTTTCAACAATTTTTTTGCTGAAGATGCCAGGTAATGGAGAGAGACCTGGGGGAAAACACTGGGGAAGGGCAGGCCTGGGACTCTGCACCCACAGCCCGTTTGCACCCCTTCTCTGCTCTCCTGGGGGCATATCTACATAAGATGCTTACTGTGCATTAGCCTAATAACACTGTGTAGTGGTGTGGCAGTTAAAAACTGCTAATAGCCTACTGCACAGTATTATTAGGCCAATGTGCAGTAAGTGTCACAAAATAACTGCAACAGTGCTACATTCAGTTAGTACTTTATTAAGCAAGTACTAAACTAAATGAGCAGTATCTAAGGTGCATTAATGAATGTGTAGACATGCCCTGGGTCTGTGAGTCCCAGAGATGCTACCCTCACTGATATACAGGGGACCTTGTCTCTGGTAGTATTGGCTGCAGCTAATCCAGGCGTGGGAGGGCAAACACCCTCAGAAATGGGACTTTAACCAAGTATCACAGTCAGGGAGAGAGAAAGGGAGAGTCAGGATGGAAGGGGCAGCAGAAGCAGTCAGTAGAGAGGGACGTGGCCAGATCTAGACCTTCCTAGCCCCCTTCCCTGCAGCCACCCTGGGCAGAGTCACTGTCCTGTGACCAAGGCAAGGAGCAGATAGAGAAAAAGCTGGTCCATGTCTGGTCCCTGCACTGCTGAGGGAACAGGGACAGGTCAACAGAGACAAAGCTGCTTTCCTTCTGCACTTTTATAACATTTAGTCAGAGTCTACAAGAGGGAACAATGCAGAGGGTGGGGGAGGAATGGGGTAAAACTTAGTCAATCTGTTTAGTCTTCATGGGTGTGCATACTTGCAGTGTGATTGTTGGTAAAGTTTTCAACAGGCTGCCAAATTATTTAAAACCAAAATCTCTTATAATGAAAATAGACTTCCAGTGAGAGCTGCATTTCTAAGGGCCTCTGGCCTATGCCTACACACAAGAGTTACATAATTTTAAGTGACTGCTCTGGTTAACTTGATACAACATCCCGCGCTCCAACCTAGAAACAAGGATGTGGATGTCAAAGCGCTTATAATGTACAGCAGAGTACAAAATCACTCACCCAAGGAAATGGCAGTAGTTACATATAAAGAGGCAAAAAGAGGCTGCTTGCTTCTTCTGTTATCCTTTGCCTCCCCATGTTAGACTGAAATCCAAAGAGTTAGTGACATAGGGCTAGCAATGAGCAGTCACTAAGAGCTATTTAGTAGTGAACAGACCTGGCCCTTACCATCCAGTTTGATGGTGGAAGTCTGGAGGAAGCAATTCTTCTCTGACTGGTCTGCAGGAGGCTAGGGATGGGAGCATGGAAACTCCTCAACCAGGAGAGCAAAGAAGAAAGGGATTCATACACTGACAGGGTAACTCAGAGGGAAAAGGCATAGAGGAGCAATGCCTAGGTCAAGAGAAAATGGCACACTTTCTCAGCAGTTAGGGAATTTTTTCTGACTGTAGAACCAGGTAAAGGAGGAGAGAGAGAGCAAGAGAGAGGAAGACTCCACGTGCTGGATGGGGAGATACTGGACTCCTTAGAGCAGGGGTGTCAAACTCATCCAGCCTGACAGGTTAGATGAGTAGTATGGGGCCAGTCCGAGGGCTCGACTGGACACACAGACTGCCCGCACATTCTGATCCTGCTCTGGCTGCCGTGAAGCTGTGCTACATGGCCCCAGAGCCCTCACCATGGGGCTGTGCTGTGCTACCCTGGAGCCAGTGCTATTGGGCTGTGCTGCACAAGGCAGCTGCTCCACTTCTCCACCACATCTTTGCCACCCCTGCCTTAGAGGACTCTGAGCAATGGGAAAAAGTGCTCAAAACTGGGGAGAGAACTGAGGGAGGTGGGTATCAGTTATTTTTGTGTGGATCTTATGCTAGCTACAGTAAAGAGTGATTCACTTTAGGAGCCCTTGCATTTTCTCTGGGCATGTGTGTGTGAGGGTGTGTTTGTGCATGCATGAATGTGCTTTTTGCTGTTGCAGGTCAGCTGTAGACCCAGCTCATCATATAATTGAAAGAGAGTGTTTAAGCTGCTGGGGAGTCTGGGGGAGTAGCCCTGGTCCTTGGGCATAAGGAACAGAGCAGCACAGGCTGCTGGGCTATGAAGACCCATTTCTGCAAAGGTGTTACAGGCGAGCAAACAGTGCCTGAGAAACAAGGCAGAGAGGCCTAGGAAGCTGGCCAAAGGCAGAGTAAGAGCCCAGTGTGGGGCAGCTCAAACCCAGCAGCCTGATGAGTGCTGGGAGAGGGGTGGGGTGCTACAGCAGAGGGTGACAACTAGCATCTGGAAGCAAATTCAGAGGACAGGACTCAAGCAGAGCGCATGTCTCTGAACCTTCCCTACAGGGTGGCCAGTGCTGTGATACTTCCATAGTAGTTAATGTTAGAAATGTCCTAGGAGTCAGTGTGGGTGAGGGCAATTAGGGCTCAGTTGAAAACCTTGGAACATTCTTTATAGCAAACATTTGGGATAGACATAACCCGGTGCATCTCAGCTCATAACCCGGTGCATCTCAGCTCTTCTCTTTCCTCTGAGCAGGCTTTCCCAGGTCTCAGCTTGACACTATGTCTAAGGTGGAAGGAAGGAAGGTGCCATTGGTCCTGGACCTCTAAGCTTTTAAGGAAAGGGAGGTCCCACCAGATGTGCAGGAAAAAAAACCCTGTGATTCTCACAAAGAGCTCAAGGGGGCTTTCATAGATCTGCATCATCTCGCCAGGTCAGCGCTGCACCTAGCTGGGGCTGTATCCTCATGGCAGATGTTGTTTGTGGCTTCCCACCCAGCTGGGCCAACATCTGGGGAGTAACTCTTTTTCTTTTGAGTTTTAAGGTGGAACGTGGTGGTAGAATTGATCCCCTTCTGCTGAGGAAAGATTTGTGGAGAATCCACTCCTGGTCATTCACTTCCCCCGTGATTATTTGTTATTTGTTCCTTCTTTTCCCTTCCCCCTCGCTGAGTGCCCCTCTTGCCCCCCAGCACCGGGGACAACTCCCATCTGGATTCTTTGTCTGTCTCGGCAGGTGAGTGGGCAGCGATACATGGAGGAGGAGCATCCCCTGCGGCAGGTCCTGAGCATGAGTTGCCCCAGGATGGCATTGGGAAGAGCCGAAGGGGATGAGCTGGGAGAAGCCTGTGAGAGTCAGTACAAGCTTTTTTGTCAGAAAGGGCCACAGCTTGAGAAGAGAGGCAGTAAATCCATGCACGTGGGACGAGAAGTCAAGAAACAAAAGGAAAGCCCCCAACAGAGTGACTGGAGTGAGGAGAGATCGATCACATGCGGGGAGTGTGGGAAGAGCTTCCACTGGCGGTCAGCATTCATTGTGCACCAGCGAACTCACATGGGAGAGAGGCCCGACCGGTGCAAGCAGTGTGGGAAGTGCTTCAGTCAAAGCTTCATGCTTTTTGAACTCCGGAGGATCCATGTGAGAGAGAAACCGTATCAGTGCCCTGATTGCAGGAGATGCTGCGGTGCCAAGAGGTACCTTGTTCAGCACCAGAGACTCCTTCTGGGAGAGAAGCCCTACAGGTGCTCGCAGTGTGGAAGGGGCTTCAGTCAGACTGCCACCCTTATCCGGCACCAGAGCACCCACATCGGAGAGAAGTCCCATAAATGTCCCGTCTGCAGGAAGAGCTTCAGCCAGAGCTCAAAACTTATCACACACCAAAGATCCCACATGGGGGAGAAACCCTAGAACTGCCCCAACTCTGGGAAAAGCTTTGGTGGAGCTCAATCCTCATATGGCATCAAAGGACCCACATGGCATGAAATCTGTTAGGGGAGGGTGCAGGTGAAAGCTTGATACATGCTTGGAGACAGAGCGGATGCTGGTTCATCAGATTGTTGGCATTTAGGAATGCTTCTAATGTTGTTTCTATGTAATACAGACCTTGGAAAGGCGAAGACAGTCTACCCTGTATTTCCAGGATAGCTTGTGGAAGTAAATCTGAATGATTTCTTTTTTCTGCAGAAAGAGAGTAAAATTGAAAAAAATGTAATTTTGAGGACAGGGACATTAAATTTTTTTAACCAAAACTTTGGTTAAAAGTAAATATTAGTTGCAGGAAAGTGATGACCGGCAAGTAGAGTCCTCCCACCTTTTAGCCCAGTAGCCTGGTGGTTGGGGCACTTGCCGAGTGAGCAAGGAAAGCTCAGAGAAACCAAGAATATGCCCAAGACACCAGAAACCTTCAGGTTAGGTGGAAATTTTGCCCCCTCCTCAAGTCCCAGTTCTCGTGGCTCTTTCCATCCCCCATGGCAGCCACATCAAGTGTAGGACAGAAGTTACTTGCAGGAATGGAGGAATCTCCTTTGCGGGAGGTTTTTAAAATCAAGTAGGTTAATCAGCAATCATTCAGATAGTGTTGGCCCTGCCTTGAAGCAGGGGGATGGACTAAACCCTCTTCCTGCATGACCTCTCTGAGTCCTTTCTATTCACATTGTCTGTGATTCTTTTCCTTCCATGTATACCAAGGAGGTTCCTAGGGATATAAAAGCCTCAGTTGAGGTCGATAGCTGACATGGCTGCAACCACTTCCTCTGCGTGCGGTTAAGCTGCTGACAAATGAGCCATTAATGCTGCCACATCCAGTGCTAACAGAAAACTCAGATTACAAAGGGAGTGGAGGTTCTCTCTCCTACTCTTGAGAATCCCACCCTGCGCAGTAGGGTCCTGTTTAGGGAATGCTGCTGCAGTCACTCCCAGTTGATGAGCCCCGCCATACAGCCACACGCACAGCCGAATTGCGAGACCCATCTCAGTTGGGAACACCCCAGAGCCTATTTGTTTCTAAGTCTGCAGTCTCTAAAGGGTTTCTCCCACTCTTCCAATGCCAAAGCAAGCTCACAGTCCGTGATCCTTGTGCATTCACTCACTTCCACTCCCTCCCTCTTGATGGCAGTGTTTGGGGGCCATGAAAATGCAGCCTCGTGCCGCAACGTCGGCAGTATTCAGAGACTTGGGAGCGACTGGTGGACAGGGTCAATGGCTATGTATTATTCGCAAAACAGCAGCACCTGGGAAATTTGAGTTTACATCATATCAGGCACAGAACTAAGAGACACTCCTTCGCCCAGAGAGCTCAGTCTTAAATATTGAACACGGGACAGCAGATGGGTACAGACAGGGCGATGGGGAATGCCAGGGAGCAGTAAGACAATATTAGTCAGCATGTGCTCAGTGCACCAGCAACCTAACTGTTGTCAGATGTGTTGTGGTCGTGGTGTGAAAGAAGAATACTGAAGAAGTGTGAAGGAAGATATTGCTCAGTAGGTCAGTTAGAGGTCTCAGCCCAGCAGCAGCTTCTAAGTCATCAACTTACCCAGCAGACTGTCCCATTCTGGCCTAAGGGAGGGATATGTTCAGGGTTAATGTGTTTATCCTCAGTTACATAGTACTGTGGCATCCCAGCCTGGTGATCAGGAGGGCAAGGATCAGGAGGGCTCCTCTTCCAGCTGTGCTCCACGCAGCACCCATTCTGCTGGGCATGCTCCAGAAGTGCCCACTGGAGCCACATCCTCACAGGGAGACATGGAGAGTGTAAATTCAAATGGGGCTTACATGTGAGATGGAGGGGTGTTCAGGTAGTGGTGGGACTCCAGTTGAGGGAATTCAGGTGCCAGCAGGGTTAGGCAACAGCTGAGAGGCATTTTGAGGATCTGGATTCTACACAGGTGTCTGAAGTGGCAAGCAGGCACTTAAATTCTGCCTAAATTTAAGGTTAAATGTGTTACTGCAGCTGTTTTCTATTAAGTTTAAGCACCAAGGTCTTGTTTACAAGTCTACTGGGCACCAATCTGTCTTTTCAGGTACCCACAGACCTCTAAAACTATGGCTCTTAGCTCCTCTGACCCACCTCAGCTTCAATTTGGCCAGCTTCACTCCTCACCAGCTACAATGTGTTACCAGGACCTACATAATGAAATGAAGCCCAAATCCCAGGTGCTGTGAATCAGGCGACTTCATAGAAGCCCAGGAGTTTTATTCCCAGCTGGTTTAAATCAGCCACAGCTCTACAGGAGTCTGTGAGGCCCGATCTCAATTGAAGTCAATTGTTGGTAGCTCTGCTGAAACCAGCACGTACCAGAACACTCCCTATGGAGCTGGTAGGCACTGACTATGATTCCCTTGTGGATATAGCACCAGCAAGAGTCTTATGCACTATCTGTATCCTGCTTCAGCCGTCTTTGTGGGCTGAACTAGCACCTGGGCCTGCTCTTCATCAGCACAGGGAGATTTTCATCCCCTGGATGTGTTACAACATATGCACACACCCAGGAAAGTGTTATTTTTGTGAGCTCTGAATAAATTTCACCACTAAACTGAAGAAATATAAACCAGCTGTTATCATATATTATTAGTTCTGAAAGAGCACCCGCAAGCCTCCACCATGATTGGGGCCAACAGCCCGTACCAACATGTGGGAAGACACAATCCCTGCTTCAAGGAGTTTACAATCTAAGAGAGGCAAAAAAACAGACAGAGGGAGAGTATGGCCCATGGATGAGGATGTGACTGACATAGTCTTCTCCCTATATCCATAGTATCATACATGTAGGTAAAATATAGCTTGACTAGTAAATGTTCAGGTAAGGCCAGAATTTTTCCATCAACAGTTTGTTGATATAATACTGGACTTTTGATTACACGAAAATTTTCAGAAAAAGTGTTTCTGCTGTGCAGATGACCCCAGCAAGGTGGGTGTCAAGACGCTTTTTGAAAATCGTTCAACTGCTTCATACCCGCATTCTCCCCCAAGGCCTGGGATCCCCAGCTGGACTGCATCTCCCATGACACAATGTGGCCATGAGAGTCCCGTGATGTATCTCTTCCCCCAATCATGAGGATGGGTAGTGAGGGCGCTTGGGAGATGGTAGTCTGACCCAGGAGCTGCACCGATCTAGGAGAACTGGTACACAAAGTACTCTGAACTGCAACTGCCATGACACACTCTGGCAGCATTTCAGACTGGGCATATTGCCGCTTTCAAATTTTAGCCAAAGTACATTTTAGTTTTTCATTGAAAAGTAAAAATGTTCAGTGCAGAACAGTTCAACAAAAACATATTTTGGTAACGTTGGCATGATGTTGTAGCTGCGATGCTCCAGGAAATATGCAAGAGGTCACGATATTTGTGGGTGATATTTTTTGAGTCTCAAACCAAAATAATATTCCCCTTTTGCCATCAGTTCCTTCCCCCAAGCACACATAACTAACCTGTTTCCCAGCACTCAGCTCCCTCCTCCAGCCTCTAGTTTCCTGGTGTGCCCCATTCCTTCCCTACTTCTATGCCCACACCCTTTCCTTCACTACCAAGCCCCCACCCCACATACATGCACATATCTCATCATGGCCCTAGACAATGTAGGCCAAGATTTTTCAAAGAAATAAAAAAAATCTTTGATTGTGTAGTTTTAGGAATAAGTTAGACAAGGGCTAGTATGGATGGGGATAACCCTGTCCTAGGTTATCCCCATCCCTAGGTATAGGGCTGGACTAGATCAGTGTTTCTCAAACTTTAAAGTAGCAAGTACTCCCTAACGTCTGATAATTTGAATAAGTACGCCAACACTCAATTTTCCAGGGGATTTTATATTTACAGACTAATGTGTTCCATAAGTTGGAAGAAGGGCTGTGTATATAAGGCCGTGATATGACAGATGTCTGATCTGGTATGGATAGGGTTGCCACCTTTTACACCAGGGATGCACATTTCAAGTATGTACCTGGGCTAGAGGTGATGTTGGCCAAAGCTAGGAGGGCTGAACCCAGTGCCATGCAAAGCACAGCACACCAAATTATTACTGGGGAATTTAATTTTTTTAATTACACCAAATTTTTTGCCATAGTTTTGAGAGGAGGAATTGGTGAGAGAGAGGAAGAGGGCAAGAGAGACAGTGTTGGGGTACCCGCGTACCCCTTGCCTGTGTCTCGCGTGCCCCCAGGGGTACACGTACCACAGGTTGAGAAACTATGGATTAGATGACCTCTGGTGGTACCTTCCAGTCCTACTTTTTTCTATGATTGTATGAGATACAGGCACCTAGTCTCCTGTGAAATTAAATGGAGTTAGCTACCCTGCCCCTTCCATCTACCAGAAGTGGGGCAAGAGAGACACATTTCCAGTGAATCTATATCCATCCAGTTATTTCACAACCTTTACTGTGTTGATCCTCACACACTTCTGCCAGGTTGGCAATGCTGCCATCCCCGTTGCCAGATGGAGAACTGATGTACAGAGAAACAAAGAGCAACATTTACAAAAGCATGGATGTACCTCAAAATAGAGAGAGGAGCCATGGGGAATTTACAAAAGCCCCTTAGCACCTTATAGACCAGAACTGGTTACATTTTCCCCCACCACATAATGTCTTTTTGGCAGAAAATGCCATTTCACTGAAATTGAAATGATTCATAAATGGATTTTGATATAATTTTGTGTAGACTATCCAATGAGGATAAAATGTTCACTTTGATATTTTTCAGAAGGGCCTGATTTAATTTGGAAATGACTTTTCAATGAACTCCCCCCCCCCAACATATACTATGTAATTTAATAAAAAGAAGCCTGGGTTTGGACTGAGGGTTGAATATTGCTTCACAGGGAGTCAAGGAATGTGTTGGTTCTGTTTAGGAACAGAAAAAAGTTCTGAAAACCCCTGAATTTCCCGTTGAACAGAAAATCTGGCAGTGATAGAGCTTGGAAGCCCACCGAAGGCCAACGGGAACTGGGCCTACTTGTAAATTCATGAGATGCCTGTCTACACCTGTAGGCACTGAAACACCTCTGAAATCTACCCATGAATAACTCATGCAGGGCAGCTCTGCCACCCACTCTTTATGGCACCTTGCCACCCCTCCGAGGGTGCCCTATCTTGCTGTGCAGCTCATCTGTGTGGAGCCAGACCCCTCCATCACTGGTGGCTTTTCTGGTGCCTGTGAAGGAGCAGACTGGTGGGGAAGCTCTTTGGGCAGTGGCTGCAGGGGTGGGCCCCTCCCCGGCATGCCCCCCGAGATGCCTGGTGAGCTCAGAGCTGGTGGCAAAGCCCCTGGTGCAGCGAGCACAGCGATAGGGCCGCTCACCGGTGTGGACACGCTGGTGGGCCAGGAGGGTGGAGTTCTGGCTGAAGCCCCGGCCGCAGGTGGCACAGCGGTAGGGAACCTCGCCCGTGTGCGTGCGGAGGTGCACGAAGAGGGTGGAACTCTGGGAGAAGCGCTTTCCGCAGTGGGCGCAGGGGTAGGGCCGCTCGCCCGTATGGACCCGCTGGTGCCGGGTCAGGTTGGAGCTGGCGCTGAAGCTCTTTCCGCAGTCGGGGCAGGTGTAGGGGCGCTCGCCCGTGTGGGTGCGCTGGTGCAGGGTCAGGTAGGCGTTGCGCCCAAAGCCCTTCCCACAGTCAGGGCAGATGTATGACTTCTCCTCCTCCTCCTCCCTAGCAGCCCCCACCCCAGTGGGGGGAAGCTCCCCTGCATGCACACGCTGGTGCCGGGCAAAGTTGGACTTCTCATGGAAGCCCTTCCCACAGTGGAAGCAGGTGTGGGGCTTCTCCGAGCGGTGGGTGCGTCGGTGCCGGGCCAGCGTGGAGCCTTCCCGGAAGCTCTTCCCGCAGTCGGGGCAGCGGTAGGGCTTCTCACCCGTGTGGGAGCGCAGGTGCTGCATGAGGTGGGAGCTCTGGCTGAAGCGCTTGCCACAGGCATCGCAGGCATAGGGACGCTCCCCTGTGTGGATGCGCCGGTGGGTGGCCAGGGCCGAGCGGACGGGGAAGCCCTTGCCACACTCGGGGCACTGGTGAGGCCACTCACCCCCATGGGCCCGCTGGTGTCTGGTGAGGTCTGAGTTGTGGCAGAAGCCTTTTCCACACTTACCACATGCGTTCGGCTGCTCCCCAGCCTCGGCTTCCAGCCCCTGGCAGCCCTTGGCACAGTCACTGGGAGAGGCTTGCCCTGGCTCTGAGTTCAATCCAGCCTCACAAGCCGTGTCCCAGTGCAGCTTCTCTCCAGCTGAGGGTTTCTCACTTATGAAGCCTCTGTTATTGGGAGGGTCCTGGCCCAGTCTGTTCCCTGAGGGATTTCTTGGCTGCTTCTTTGAGCTGCTCTCAGCCTCCCAGGTTGCTCTCCAACCAGGACTCCAGGGCTCCAGATCCTCAGGGACCTCCTGCTGGGCACTCTCCTCCTCACTCACTGTTCCCGTGGCAGCTGCAAGAGATGGAGAGAATCCAGACATGGGTAATTCACCCTATGATGGGGAAAGGGAGGGTGAGGAACTGGCACTGTAAGGGTTGTGTCGCAGTGCAAAATCACTGATGGTAACCCAGGAGGTGAATTCCTCAAACTGTCTTGAATCCCAGAGGCAGGAAAGGCCACCTCTGTCTCCAGAGCAATTTTGGACTCGTAGAGAAAGGATGCAGGAATGGATAAGTCAGGCCAAGTAGAAACCATGGAGGACATGACATCTGTTGGGGGACAACCCTAACCTGTGGCAGAGGTGGAGGACCTGGGCATGCTTGCAAGGGTCTGGATCATTTCCAGATATGTGTCACCAAATCCTCACCTGTGCAAGGACTTCTCAGGATCCTCTTTGCCTCACAGCCCTTTAGATCTGGAACCCATTGCGCTTCTCCTCCTTTCAGCTCGGAAATCACACTTGGTTTGGGAATGGGAAATCCTGCTCAGGGCAGAGAAAACAGAAGTCATGGCCTGGTTGTATGGTGTGCTTTTTGTGCAGGCTCTTTTTGTGTCTGAAAAGCAGGTACTAGAAAATATTCATGGACACCCTCTTTGTGAGAGAATAGAGCCTGTGGCAGAGGCATTGTGTGCCCTGCAGTAAATGTAAAGATACACGCACACATAAGGTGAGAATAACACAGTTTCCCATCACAAAGAGGAACAGGGTGTGTGACAAGAACCCTATTCAACCAGAATAACCCAGGTCCAGCTCCCTGGGTAATATGAGCTGGTGGAAGATATTCCAGACTAGAGCCAAGGTATTTCCAGTGAAGGAATGGAAGGATAAACAGGAACTACACTGGAAGAGACAGTCGCGTGTGTCCATTCACCTGCGATGGCAGGGGACCCATACACACAGAGCAGAAATTCCTAATCCAAGTGTACGAGTGACCTATACACTCAGAGCAGAAATTCCTAATCCAAGTGTACGATCTTGCATTTTGAAATCTTAAATGTCATCCCAATTCCATTACTTCAGCCCCTATGGTCATCCTGTTCTTCCTGTAGGATATTTAGCTTCTCCTTTTTAGCAGCAGTGCTTCCCAGCTCTGTGCCCTCCCTCAGGAAATGTCATTACACACATTCCTGTTTTTTATGCCAAGTACATTCATGAACATATCAAGTAAGATTGGTCCAAAATTATATCCCTGAGGAGTTCCATTAGTAGCTTCTTTCCACCCCAATAGTTTTCATTTTATTACAACCCACCATTTTCACAAGGGAAGAATTATGAGCAGAAACCAACTTATATTTGGGCATTTGGGGACAGGAAGCAGGGGACAGGTGTCCTTACCTAGAGTAACCATGGCCTCATAATTCTCCTGCATGACATCCCAGTAGAGGGCTCTTTGACCTGAGTCCAGCAGAGCCCACTCCTCTAGGGTGAAATACACAGCCACCTCCTCAAAGGTTATCAGTTCCACTGCAGCCATTTCCCTTCCCTATCCCCTTGGTAAGTGAATTTTATTCTGCAGCCTGTTGGGGAGAGAAGGGCAATGTGTAAAGTTTCAGAAGAGACTTTATTCTGTTTCATAGCAAATTATGTTGAGGGTCCAGCAGAGCTCACCGCCTCTCAATAAAACACACAGCTGCCCCCTTAATGGTCACCCAGCCCCAGATACTCCAAGGTTATCCCTCTGCTTTATTCTGTCCTGTAGGGATAGTGAAACATTACAGGAGACTTAGGTTAGATGCAGCTCTCAAAAGGGCTGTCACCCTGCTTTCCTCTCTGCCCCCCACAAACACTAGAGGGCAAATATCCCCTACTTATTATCCACATAAAACACTCTGAATTGGGAAAGTGGCTGGACAAAAGCCCCCTTCCCCTTAGTGTATACTATTGGACTTGGCAGGAAATTAAAAAAAATCTTCAGAAAACAGATGTTCTCTGCAAAAATAAATAAATAAATAACCTGAAAGTCCAGTTCTGGACCAGCCCCAGGAATCAATTTAGCTGAGTCTGAGCCTCCTGTATCCTATTTCCACAATTTCCCCCATTAAGAATCAGTGGCTCAAGTTTGCAGAATAGCTGAAATGAGAGGATTATTGAGAAACTCCCAAAAGACACTGCCTAGAATGAATATTAATCCTTGGGCCCCGTGCAGCAGTGTCAGGCACATCCAGGGGTGTTGATTTATGTTCCACACATGAGAGAAGATCTCATACTCCAGGACGTGCTCGTGCCGTGAGGTCTTTCTTAGCTTCAACTATATACTTCCTCAGCCTGCCTTTTTTCTTTCCCTCAGCTCCAGCCATCTCCCCTCTCTGTCCTCTGGACTTGGAGTGAAATGTCCTGCAGCATCTCAGGGCAAGAGATGATATTGCCAGCAGAGG